CGGAATTGTGAATTTTAAAGGTTGAAATAATTCTTTGTACGTTTTTCACCAAGAGAGAAGTAACGCCGGTTGTCCCAAGTCACAAATCAGTGGTATTTAAAGATCCTCAAGCCTGAATGATATCTCTGAGATAAATTCTACAACCGTTTTGTTCCGTATTATTATTTCAGTTCACAAACTCTAGCGTCTTGTGGTGACAAGTCTACACCCCTAATCAGTTTGTCACTGTAACTGGATGAATAACTTTTGGCGGGTCAATTATGACTTCATTTTCGAGGTCTCCCCACTTCCCATTCCCGCGTCGCTCGTTCCTTTTCCTGTTTTAAAAAAACCAGTGGTAATCGCCTAACTTTCGCGGAACTCTGAATTCGTACTGGGAGGAAAAGAATATGCGGCGAGTTTGGAATATAACTACTGGAAGGGAAAGCGATCTGCGGGTACAGTTGATTGTCTACATTGATGGTGAAGAGGTCCAGCAGGGTCCAGTCCAGTTCTGTTCCGCCGACTTGTCGAACCATACTTTTCACTGTTTCTTACTTCTACGTAATTTGACCTTACTAGTCCGGTGAGGTTTTTACCGACTTATTCCACCAAACAGCAGTTTTACGGAAGGTTAACAGTACAGAAATAGTTCCTTTAAGGAATCAATGTACAAAAAATGATGTTTTATTTCAGAATCCGGCAAAAATATTGCTCCCGGCCCAGCCCGAAAAGCCATAATGTAAGACATCATTGGTACAGAATAGCAGCTTTAAGTCGAGGTTGTACAAAAGTAGCAGTTTCACTTCAAAATTATCATAATTACGTACGATTAATAATAAATAAATAGCAGCTTTAAGTTTTTCCCTTCGGGATTTAAAGTGATACTCAGACAAATCAGACATTTAAAAGGGTATGCAGAAAACTACACAAAAACTAGACATAAAATCTCTAAGAATATGTTAATTTTAATAAATAAAACACTATTGCAGAGCGTATCTGTGAGGGAATGATCCCTAGCAAGAAGATAAAAACATGATCAACAGGGCTCAAGTAAACACAATTTGAAGAGCTACGCTTCAGTACGAGCTCGAGAGGAAGGAAACGACCTCGTAGTTCAAACGAAGTTCGCTGTATCTGCGGAATCGCGATTCGGAATCTGCGCCCTCGGCTGACGTCAAAGAGGAGGAACCGCACCACTCAATGCCGGCTCAAAAACATCGACTTCCATCTTTTCGACCCGGAGCGTCAGTGCAAAAATTCATCAAGGAAACTTTCACAATGTCATTCCCAATTTCCTGTAAAAATTGATTCGACGAAACGAGTTTGACTACTTCACAGGAGCTAGTCCAACCCCAGTCCTAAACCCTAGCCCTATCCTAATTCCTAGCCGCCACGTAGTGCCGCAGAATCACGTTGTAAAAGAGGTGCGTACGCGGAGGTGCTACCTGGCGGTCCTCTTGAAAACTAACTACTCTCTGATACCCAAACGGTAGTCAATGATATGGTTGCTAATGTCCTCCAAGTTAACGCGGCCTCAAATAAACAAACAAAAAAAACTTTCATATTTCGCATAACAAAGCGCACACGAAAACTAACGTAACATCATCAACACTAATGTCAATTACGATTCCTACAATTCAATGTAATTACAATTCCTGCGAGTGGTCTTGGCTGTCCGGGTAACGCCACGTCGAAGCCAGGGATGATGCCGATGTTTCAACCATTTTGTCTTCTCATTTGCCAACTCATTTGTCTTGGTCTTCTTCAGGGCTTATCTGCGTCGGAATGATCGGCGCTCGGGTTTATATAAGGGTGAGGCCGAGTGTGATTGGTTGAACCTTCCGGCCAATCAAGGGGCCGATTGCCAGCCGCGGGAAGCGGCGACTTAACTTAATTCCATTCCCTAGCTCGCGTTAGGCTACCAGATGTTTTCTGAACAGCGATAGTATGCATGGATGGCTCTACTGCGCATGAGCGGTGTCTCCCTTCTCGCGTGTTTCGCTCGCGCATGTGCCAGTGCCAGTGCCTAGTCAAACACTCGATCATTTATTGCATCTATAGATTAACAATACCTTTTTTAAACGTGAACAGTACATGTAAATAATTATTTGTAAATAGTATAAAGAGATGTATTCAATAGTTGCTCTATAAAAGCAATATTTACTAATAAATTTAGTCTCTCGCATGATTTTGCATTTTCATAAGTTGGCAATACCTAATATAGGTTAGATTGACTTCGGCGCCCGTACTTTTCTTTTTTTCTACGTTGAATACTATTTTCATTTAAACATTGATTTCATTTTAAATGAATTATCGCCAAATAGTTTGTGGTTCAATGTGATACAAAATTTTAAGTTACGGTGATTTTCTTTGGTAACCTAAGAGACAAAGTGCTGACAATAGCATGATTTGTGCAGCATATCTCCTTGACCGAGAGCCAGTAGTTCCGGTTCCGATGAATTTCACAGTAGTTTTTTGTATAAATTACTTCTCAGAATGCCGTGAGGTATGTTACATTTAATACCATCTGATTCCTCAAGAACTTCACTTTTTTTCTTTTATTCAATAAGTAGTACTTTCACTGTACAACTTCTTCAATAACTTAAGAAAACCAATTCCCGCAAAAGTTTGTTCATAAGAGCCTGCACTAATTTAAACTTTTTTTATTAAAAAATTAGGCCGGTAAAGGCCTATTTTTTTCTTACCATTTTGAAGAACAGAGATTTTGCTTTCATTTAAAGTATTTTGGAGGTACTTCACCGTAGCCGATCTAACGAACATTCTATTTTAACCCGAGATTACAAAGGTGACATGTACCAAGCATTTACAAAGGCGTAGTCTGGCAGACTACTTTGGTTAAAAACCAATTTTTCCAATGACGAACTAAATTAATGGATTGAACATGTATTCTATGGAGTTATAAAATAACTTTTAAAGATTTTTGTAGATACACCTAAATGATTTGACTCTGACAGCAGACACTTGCTTGGTGCTGTCCATGCATGGCTTCTGAGAAGCGTCAGCAGATATACCTTATCATGCGACCTTATTTGTGATCGCCATCGTCCCAATATGATTGCTAAATGTTCAGAACAAAACTTAAATGCCTCAACACAAGGATTTTGTATTCATTATTTATGATAGGCGCCAACTCTCCTGTGCGATCCGCGGGGTGTGTATTAAAAAAGAAAGAAAGAAAGAAAGAAAAGCTCACCTCCCAGATGAGCTTGAAGTCGCGCTGCTCGACGCGCAGCAGCTCGCAGGTGGTGCGCGTGACGACGGTGCTGTCGCGCGGCAGGTCGTACAGGATGGACTCCCCGAAGGTGGCGCCCACCCCCAGGCTGCACAGCGTCACGGGCACCTGCGCATTACGAAATCGAAAAATTGAGAACGTTTCACAGAAGGAATGTACTTCGGGCGGCGATATGTGGCAGCTGGCAAGAGAATGGGGCAAGATCGAAACGCGAGACAAAACCAAAGAAATCAGAAAACAAACTAGTAGGAGAAAGTATCTGCCATTTTGTAGCATCACCACTCGGCCAGCATACACCACCGCTCAGTAGATAAGTGGGATCAGCATATCTACACATATCAAAACTAGGGTCAATAAAGAAGTGCAAATGTCAAACATCAAATAATAGCAAGCTATTAGTAGAAATAAATTGTAAAAAATAATAAAAATGTAGTCTAAGTGTGATCAAATGAGTTAGGTCTTCTGTGTTAGCGCGGTGGACATGAAAATTTTCGAATCCCTTAAATTCACGAAAATATTCCACTTGGGGAAATTCGAATCTTTCGAACCATATATATTCAAGATATCGTTATTTTCGTGCTTGTCTATATCTTCAGTTATTAATATTCCCCCTTCAGTGGGACCTTCTGCCTCAAAGTCAGCCATTACCAAAATGCAACAATGTTTCATCTTTTAATCATGGAATACAGAAAATAACCTCTTTCCCTACGTGGACTTATTAGAAAAGACTTTATTAAAATGTTATTATGAAAAGACTTTATTTAAATGTTAAAATGTTTTTACTTTGACAAAAAATATATATGGGAACATTCAATTATGAGGCATTACTAGTTGTAAATAAATAATAGTTGAAATGAAAAGGTAGTTCGCCTCGGCAGCGATGGCTCTCTCTTTTTGAAGATTACAATCGAGGCACTTGAGGCGGGTGAAGTCGCTTGGCGTACTTATACCGCTTCCAGCGATAACAATAGAAACTTCAGATTTTTAGATTTATTTAGTCAAAAAACAGTAAAAACTGAGTGTGGCGTATGGGGGAGAAGATTATCTGCGCACGTTTTCTTCAATCCCTTCCAGTCATTTTCACTATAAATAGTTGAAAGATGAGTAAAAGATTAACATAAATGTACAGAAATAAATTTTAAACATTTTAAAAATTGCAAGATTAGTAATATTTGAAAAAATTGACTTTTTGTTTTCGAGTTATAGAAAACGTATTTGCATCGGTAAACGAATTGAAAGTATGATTTTTCTGCATTGCTAACAATATAGCAACTCGCCCTTACCTCTACTCCTACCATTACAAGCAAAAGGAGAGTTCAACAAAACGTGCGCATAGTTAAACTACATTTACTCAATGGATCAGGGAAACTGGACAAAAACCTGATCGAGATGGAGGTCATTGCCCCGGAAGCTAAAGTATATTAAGTAACTATGTCTGCCTGATGACAGTTGTTATTTCAGGTACGCTCAATGCCCAACAAGGGCTAAGACGCAACAATATCCAATCCACCCAACTCATCGCCAAAACTTCAGCCATAGCTTATTCATACATAAAAAAAACAAGTCTAGTTCAACACGAGTCCGTCGAAAGTGTTTTTTCACTATGGGGCGCGTAATTTTTTTTAATGTCTGGAAAACAATTACGATTTTCACAAATAGACGCAAGACATGTCAATATCCTGATGGTGATGACTTTCAGACAATATTGACCAACATCTACATGTCGCGGGTTTGGGACTATAATAATTTGATAAAATTTACGCACTAAGCGCGCTCGCCTGCGACAGAAAAGGTTCTGCGCGGAACGAAATGTTAAGGGTTTGTTTGGCGCGTTTGTAATAGTGGTGCAAAGGAAGGGCATACCGCCACGTATGAATTGAGTCATCAATATCCTAGGTCATAAACTAATAATTGATGAACAGTATACTCGTATGCCCTAAAAACTGCATTGATGATGAGCAATGAGCATAATTACTTTTCGAGGTTTAAGAAGAAGTACGTCTTATTTTTATAGAACATTACTTGCCACTGATAAGAGTGAATATTCACTCTTAATCGAGTAAAAAAGTTTTATCTTCCTAAAATGGTATTTTTTCATTATTAAATGTAAAATAAAAACAATATATGGATGCATTTTTTGGTATTCTGCAATATTACTGTTTTCAGAAACATGTAGTATTGTTTCTTAAGTTTCGATATCACACTACGCCTGTATCGACGCTCATGTCATACATTAGAGATGATTGTAAAGAGATCGAAATATTTCTTAGAAAATGATATGACAGAAATGGCAAGGGTTGTAAATCACTGGAGGTTTTAATGCCGTTACGAACATGTTGGATTCTATTTTTTACTTTGATACATTTATTTAAAAATGTTAAGACAATTTTCTGATTTATTCTAGATCATCACTTTATCACATTATTAATTCAGATCTTTGTACTTTAAAATTGATTCACATGTTTTCCTAGTGGCAGATGTTTATTTTGCCCCGGCAGAGCGGAAGATGTACTTTGAACCAAGTATTTCCTCCTTGTGTTGAAAAAATCTCGATCGATATTAGAATCAGGGTGATGCACATAAACAATAAAATTCAAATATTATTTTTGCCAGAGAATAAATTTTCCGTTCTCAATTGTGGCCAAAACATTGTGCATTTATAAGTTTAAAATACAAATAATGTCGCGTTAAATTAAATATGAAACATTGTGTATCTGTTTGCACAATGCGAAATATTTTTACGCGAAGGATGAGGAAATTGTCCAATAACGTGATGCTGAATTGAGTGCGTTATACGTACAAACTGTACATTTATTAGACTGTAGTACATTGGAACTGAAATATATATCTTTATTTATGCGCAACATTTGATACTTTTTTTTTACTACTTGACTCTTCAGTTTCACCATATTTACTAAATCTCTATTCAATTTTACTTAACGTATTTGAGTTCTTTGAATGTGGTAAACATATTGCAAATACCTACTACACAATAATAGCCCATTCAAAAAACAGGTCAACATTAATCAAAAGTACAGCGTTAACTACACGCCATAATAATTAGAGACATATCTCAGTGCATTAATATGCAAATCGAGTTTCTTTAGGACTCATACATATGACACATTATTTTGATGCATTTCATATTGTCATTATTATTATTATTATTATTATTATTATCATCATCATCATTATTATCATTATTATTTGTTATTGTATTTCTTATTAAAATCACAATAATATTATTATTTTGCAGGAACAAAACGATCGGTGCTGGTGCGGCGGTATGTATCCACAATCTCTCATCCAGTACGCTTAGCCATAGCTTCAGTCAAGACGAAATTGAGAGACAAATATCCGACTCCTTATTTGCAACAATATTTATACTTTTATCAGTTGTTACTGCATGTATTGAGACCCTTATGATTACGATACGTGAACAAGTGGCAAATTGCATTGGATATAAATCTAGTCTTAGTATAACAAAATAAAAATTGTAAAATTTGGATTACGTGAGTTTCCTGCGCAGCTGCAGGGAGCACATACGAGAGTAGGTTGTAGTAAATATCACTTGAAGGTATTAAAATTTAATTTTTTCACCGATCGAATAAAACGCGTGGATTTATATGTGCTGTTAGGCATCCGTGAAGATAGTATTTTCTTAAATAACCTGAAAAATGTGTCACCGTGCGTGAAATACTTTTTATACTGTGACGTCACAAAGCGAATGGCCTTTTAGAGAACGTCTAGAAAAAGCAGTTTCTTTTCGGGCATAGACAGCGTATTAAATTTCAATTTTAGCACAAATTCGTAAAGTGGGTCGTTGCTCAAATGTTGAAATAAAACAGTGCAACGGAGAAAACAAAATACTTACGTTTGATCGCGTCAGTGATTAGTATACTCGAGTTTACTTAAATTAAATACTTAGTTAAATAAAATGGAAGTCAGAAGAGTTGCCTAAGAAGTGTACGACACTGGTAGAAGTGATTTTCCTTTGCTCGTGTGATTGCGCCACTTGGACTATCGGCCTCGTGTCGCAATTTTTCCTACTCGCAAAATAAAAAGTCACTTTTACCACTCGTATCATACATTTATGTTATGTACAGTAGATAGATTACGCGAGAAGTAAGAAAATAAAGCATATTAATGTGAAAACATGTTAATTTCACTATTGAACTCTGCCTCATAACTATTAACATTCAATTAATTCTGAATACATATTTAGTAGGAAACAATTTACTCAAAATGTTTTGTAATGAAATTCGTAACAACCCCTTTAGATGTACACTAATTTCTCAACTGTGTGGTAGATTTGTTCGAATATAACTTGGAATTTTGGGGTAATACATTAGATATGTGCAACTCTTGTGAAATGTCTACATCGCTTTTATAGATTTTAAATTATTATTATTATTATTATTATTATTATTATTATTATTATTATTATTATTTATAATAATCAAACTAAGATGAGCCAGTTACATAATAATAATAATAATAATAATAATAATAATAATAATAATAATAATAATAATGATGATGATAATGGGGCCTACTCTTCCGCCTAACTACTTGAAAATACAATTATTCAGAGTTGTGACATTTAAGAGGGGGGACGCCAGCTGTGCATTTACGACTGGGAGTGCCTAACTAGGAGCTTCACACGTACGCCTTAAGCGAATCCGTAAGATCTCCCCCCCCCCTCGCAAAACGCTCAATCTGGATAGGGGTGAGCAGATTAGGAACTCAAAACGTACTCCTTTTTTACAATCGTTAAAAAAGGTGGAGGTTCCTTTCTAATAAAATCATGAAGGTTAGAGATGAAACAAATCGTTGTTTGTAATAAAAGCATTGTAGAAGAAATGTATTTGTGTGCATAATTATTGTGTTTTGAACGATCTCGATTGTTTTTTTCCGCCTCGGCGTATAGCTCTCAACAAAGAAAACCTTTCTGCCTCGATTGGGCAAAAAGCAATCATTCCACGCACTTAATATAAAAATATCTATAGCAACGTATTCGTAATCATTAAGAAATGCCATAAACAGTCTAAACACAAGTAAAGCTGTTCATTGCGTTTTTATTGCGAAACTCTAACATTTAATGTTGAAGCCTTCAGCTGAACCTAACCAAGTGTAAGAAGAAGCAGTGTTACAAATTGGTATTATACATGAAAGGGTGAAAACGGGAATGTGTCAGACTGTACTTTGGTCTTTAATCTGAAAACCGGAATGGTTTAAGTGGCATTTTATAAATTCAGAGAAACGTGTTTATTTTAAGATATATTTTAGTGACAATGGATTTTCATGATGTAAATAAACAATTTAAATGCCGTGGTCTTAATGATGAAACAAAATACCAAGACGTCACAGTGAAATTGACTTAAATAAACAGATATCTCAGAATTTATACAGTGTCACTTATTCCGTTCTGGTTTTCACCCATTCATATAAACCCGACATCTGCATTTTCTGTTAAGTTAGAGATAAAGTTTAGTACAACTATCATCGTACAGCAGTCATAATGGTGAAAAGACGAACATTCGTTCAGCAGTCATTAGGATTACTTTGCATTCATTTTAGCGGAAATGTGTATGCACCTCTTAATTTCATGAAATTACGATATTTCAGCGCAATTTATTCATATTACAATCTCTTTGGACTTTTGGTTTAAAGTGTTAAGGTAACATTGCTAAATTTATGTAACTAACTTTGAAGTACAAGAAACAGCTTATAAGAGTACCACAGTGACAATATTTTTTTAATTTGATATTTTCATGCCCGTTCGAGAAATAACTATTTCAGTCATATTTTCAGACTTGCATTGCAGCAATCCAGAAACGACACGATTTCGAAGCTTGTATACCGTAATTATGCCTCTATTATTGTGAGCTCTAATGTGTTTACAAAATGGGTCTTCAGTGTTGCACGGATAAGCAGAGTTCGAAATTTCTGTTTACATTAACAGCACTGTGTGTTAATTTTGAACTGTTGGCGAAACACATCCATTCCCTTTAAATTTTGACAGGATAATTTTCAAAGGTTATTAGTACATATTATATCGAACACAAGAATTAATTATAAACGAACATTTTTCATCTGGGTAGATAAAAATAGCAATAAAACTTAGTAAAGCGAACATGCGTACTTCTGATTGGAAGGCCATCCGACCGTAATGAAGTCGACTAAATCACGAAGTCCTTCATCTCGTGCGTTAATTTCCCTACCGCAAGGCCAGAGTGCTAACGCCCGTGCGGTGCACCAAACGCCAGTCAGTTAAAATTTCCAGCCCCCTGTGAGGATCGAACTCACGACCCCTGGTTTACAAGACCAGTGCTCTGCCTCTGAGCTAAGGAGGCTGCCGGGGTGCTGCCGCCAGGGTGTGCGATGTCGAGGGTGACAAAAGCGCTTCTTTGCCTGCTGCCGGGGGCTGCTTTCGCGCTCCCCCTCGCGCCCGAGGGATCGGCTGTGAATGCAGTCGCGCCGAGGGAGGGGGGGCGGCGTCGCGGCGCCCGGCGTCTCGCAGAAGGGCTGCTGCGGAGGGGGTGGGACGAGGCGAGGAAGGGCCAGGCGTGGAAGAAAGGAGAAAGAGGGGACTTGGCGAGACATGTCGGTGAGGTTGGGAGAGGCGAAATGTGGTGTGACGAGCGTGACTGGGGCGTGGCGAAGGGAGACTGCAACAGATTGTAAGGCAGGGCGAGGGAAAACGCCAGTAAGAACGACCGGCCGGGGCGGAGGGGGCGTTGCGTGGCGGGGCTGGGCCTTGCGGGGGCGGGCGGGCGGGGCGGGGCGGTGGCGTGGCGGGGCGTGGCGGGGGCGTGGCGGGGCGTGGCGGGGCGTGGCGGGGCGTGCGGGGCGGTGGCGGGGCGTGGCGGGGCGTGGCGGGGCGTGCGGGGCGTGGCGGGGCGTGGCGGGGCGTGGCGGGGCGTGGCGGGGCGGGGCGGGGGCGTGGCGGGGGAGGGCGGGGAGGGGCGGGCCGGGGTGTGGGCGAGCGAGGCGGGGCGGGCGGAGCGAGGCGGGGCTGGAAGCGTGGAAGGGCGCGCCCGCGTTAGGAAGGGGAAGAAGTGGGAGTGGGGCGGTGGCGTTTGCTTTGGCTTGACAGCTCAAGTCGCGAGATTAGCGGTGACTTTGGCAAGATGATGTATGGCGGAGCGGTGAACGGGGCGAGGCATGGGGTAAGGAGATAGACAGGGTGCCGTGGGCAAGACAGCGGTGACCGACGCAGGGAGACTGGGGAGGGGCGAGGCGCGGGCCTGGAGGGATGGATCGTGCTGGTGCAAAACAGGGAGTGGCAGCGCGACTTGGGGCGACCGCAGACTGGAAGCGGGGCGTGCATCCGCGGAAGCGGATCGGGCCGAGGGCGAGATGAGACTGTGGGGATGGCCGAAGCGGAAAGAATGGGGCTGGACCCAACGCGACGGGAAATCATCAGCGTGGCAGGAGGCGAGAGAGAGGCGTTGGCATAGGCTTGGGCGGGCACGGCATGCTGGGGCGGGTGGTGGGCGAAAAGGGCGTGTGGGCGTCCGGGAGTGATGGGGAGTGGAGTGGTCTGGGAGGGGCGTGGCAGGGCGGGCGAAGACGTGACGGGGAGTGGCGGGGGCGGAGAGTAGCGGACATGGCGTGGTGAGGCTGGAGGGGACGTTGGTTAGGGGCGTGGCGTGACGGGGCACGACAAGGCGGGGGCGAGGCGTTGGGGTGGCTAGCGAGCTTGGGCGTAGAGTGGAAATGGTGTGGCAGAGCGGGTGGCGTGGCGGGTCGGGGCGGGGCGTGGGCGGTGCGTGGCGAAAGCGTGCCGCGGCAACTCCCAGCGTCGGAAGGAAGAAGAGAGGGAAGCCCGAGAGATAAATCGTAGGAAGGGAACAAAGCATCGCGAAGGGCTTTTTTTACACTCCCGGAGATTTCTGGCTCTTTTGATTATCCAGCTTTTGAGATATGAGGCTTGAACAGGTGTTTCGCCGCGGATATCTTTCTCACTTTGCTGAGCAGAAAATATAATTTCAACTTAACGCATTCCTTTGGAAATTTTGAAGAAGGTAGTTTTTACTAAATTGCAACATGATTTCATGTTGGAAATGAAAATGAGTTAAAATCCTTTTAGAAGTAGCGATTACATTAGTCATCGGGGAAATTTTACGGCGTGACTAACGCGTGAAAGTATGATTTAAACGTGAAAATAACTGTTTTGTAATCAAATTCCAAAGACAAAATATCCATATAATCGTAATTGATATTAGTTTCTGGTTGGTATGATCATAATTCCGAAAATTAGATAGAAAGTCGGTGAAGTCAGCACAATAATTTGATAATGCTTCTTTATTTTCCATACATCCTACAATTAACGAAAACAATGGCATTCCAGGGGAAAAACCATATCAGATGTAAAGTAGTGATAAAAGAAAAAGTATTGAGCAAGTAAACAACGTTAATTATTTAGGATTTAACATCTCATACTGCGACAAAAAAGATATAAACATAAAGAACTAAAAATTCCAGAAATTGTGCGGTACTATACGCAGAGCACTAAGACAAAAGACCAGACAAGATACCCAACTAAAATTTTACAAAACTATGGCAGTCCCAATACTAACTTATGGATGCGAAAACTGGGCAGTCAATAGGTCAGACAGAAGAAAGATTGAAGCGGCAGAAATGAGATTCCTGAGAACATTAGCAGGATATACACTACTAGATCATAAGAGAAATGAAGACATCAGAGGTGAACTTAAGATCTCCAGCATACTGGAGAAGATCGACTCAACGAGGAAGAATTGGTTCGAACACCTAACCAGAATGCCACAAGAACGGCTTTCCAAGACTATCCTCGAATACAAATCAAAGGGGAAACGATCCAGGGGCAGACCCCACACAAGATGGAAAGAGACTCTTGAGAGCGGAACGGGCCACTAGGCCCAAACCTTTTGCTGATGATGATGATGACATCCTACAATTGGCCCTCTTGGAAATAGCTTTCCATTATAATACTATGATGTTGTTTGAAGTGAACTTATCAGAGTTTATGCGAATATTGATTTTGATTACTGAAAGGCGAGTCATTCCAATGTAAGAGAGATATCTTCTGATTTGAAATTGAGACAATAATCGGACATCGAATCAAACATTCAATTGTTCATAATGCGAATGTATTGCGTTTATCTGATACCAATTAAATGCTTGCAATGAATTCTATTAAAATTTGATATAAATCTCACAGGTTTTATAAGTGCGTTTTAATCTAGCTTGTCTGTGATATTAATCGCAAAAAATAGTTCAACACTATATCAGTCTGCTGTAACGTTTGTTTAGAAAAACGGAATTGTGTAGTACCAGAACCCACGTATGAGTTAGTTCGAGAGAGACCCCAGGGTTAGTTCGATTGATTGATTCATTAGTAATTCTGAGCGCGGGAACTGCTAAGGTCAATAGAATGATGGGGCAGGTGTATGTTTGTATTGCGGGAGGTGCGGTTATATTTCCTCGCAGCATGGCGCGGTGATAGTCGGCACCGATCTTCACGTCGTCTTGCGGGTTTTCCCTCAACCAGGAATCACCCACCAGCGTGGCACCGCCACAGCTGGGACGAGCTCAAAGCTCCCGGCCGGTCTCCCGGCATGTGTGGTTGTATAGTAGATATAAGTGTAAGTGTGTGAAGGAGAGGTAAGGATAGGACAAGGAAGAGGAAGGGAAGATCGCGGGCGTTCCTTGGCACGTTCGTTTCGGTGTAGCTCCGGCATTGGTCTAGTGTTGATCGAAGAAACCACGGAAGAGCAGTCTAGAATTCTTCTTCAGACAGCGGCTGAATTTGACGTAGTCATCTAGTTAGTGTCGAAAATCCTGCCACCGCCCGGAGTCGACCCTTAGGACCTCCCTGTCAGATGCACTGCTGTGACATCATTTGAAGCCCTGTGCCCCCAAGCCGTTAGTTCGAGAGAGCGCCTAGAGTTCATTCCAGAGAGCTCCTCGGGTTCGTTCGAGAGAGCTTCTAGAACTCGCGGATATTATGTCAAAACACAGTAGTAGTCTATAGTTTCAGCAGAAAGAATGGAAACAATATTCGTTTATTCTTCTTATTATTTTTAGTCTGTCGCCCAATCGATAAGCAGCGTTACTGCTACTGGCCACTAGCGCTGGTATAACAACAATAACATGCTAAAGCCAGCGGACGAACATGTTCGCAGCGACGCACCATCACACTCAGCCAAATCAAACAAGCCAGTGATGTGTCTTGATTTCTGTGGGCCATGTTGGACATTAGCAGGGGATGGCGTGCATTGTGGCCGGGCATGCTTGTGGAAGAGGGGGGACGCCATTCACGGACCGGTTACATGTCGCTTCCGAGCCCCACATTAAGTTTTTTGTTGTTGTTTTTGTTTGAAAGTGCTTTCAGTGACATTCATCGGCCGCTGGTTGTATTAGCATAGACTAGAATTTATTTATGGTAATATAATCCAAAAATCCTTTATTTTAATCTCGTCCAGTTTTCTAAAAGAATTGAACTTTCTTCTGAAAGAGTTATTTCAAAAACGACTTGAACTTCACGAAATTTATTTAACCGTTTTTCATTTCAGTGCATCAGGTGTTTGGTCACTGAGAAAAGGTTCGTAAGTCTTGTATACTTAAACATTACACTTACGTTTTTGTTCCCAGTGACCACAAAATATTACGAGAACAGAACGCTTGAAATTACGTGATAAAAATCATACATTTTGGAAATGGCGGCGAGTAACCCCTCTATGAACAGAAAAATGGTTGCTTTTTTAAGGCATATAGAAATCTTCTTTCTTATTGTATGACTGCTTTTAAAGAAAACTTTAGTACTACATGCAGACTGAAGAGTAATAAAAAGCAAAACACGACCACAATTATTTCGCTTTATTTTCTGCTCCTTGTTTTCCAGGGCTTCTCCTGCTTTGCTCCCTGTTTTTCAGGGCTGTAGGTTGCGGTGTAATCAGGGAATATATTTTCCTACTTCTTTTTTACGGTGTTCCACAAGGCTAGCAACCGTGATGGGCGAGATTTATTACGTAAATTATGATCTAAATATTCATTTTACGGGCGGAATGTTCCGATTGTGGCAAAACACGAGGAAACAATTCACATTTTTTGTGGTGAAATTTTATTACCGCTCCAGTATGCATTAATATTTTAAAGCGCAACGACAAATGCGGCCAACATTTGCGCATAAACACGCCCTTTCATATTTTAATTCATGCAACATTATATCACCATTCTCGAATTAATTGATTTTTTTTTGGGGGGGGTTGTCGATTCACATTACAGCCATGCAGCAGTATGAAGAATTATCCGAAAAGCTACATATCCCTTGTTATTCAGAAAACATCCTGCAAGGGTTAGTGCGCATTCAGATCAAATAATTTATAGAAAATATGTGCAGTTTCAGTGAAATGACCTTTGGAACTTAACTACTAGGAGGAGGATTTTAATGGAATTTGTTTTTCTTTTCACTTTAAAACAATGCCCTTTAGTATAGAAATTCGTTATTTATTAGTATCGAAAATAACTCATTTTTACATGTCAATTTTTTGCATCTTTCCGTGATTTCTTCCAATAAGTGTTTTACTTTTTCCCGTCGTATTTAATTAATTTTCCAAGCTGATTTCATCGATTTTAATATCTGTTTAATGGTACTTGCTTCAAATAATATTTACAACATGTAACTAATATTCTCCACAGAAATCCTTGAGTAGCCTATTTGGTTTCTTCGCTCAGAAATTGTAATGCCAGCCGTTTGAGTATGTAATCTAAGGTTCCTGTATCGCCTATCAAAGCAATTGTCAATTCAGTCGATTTCGGGATAACTAAAGACAGATTTCCTTGCAAAGAACAGTCCAAGCTGAAAGTTTGAAAGCCGAGTTCACTTGATCAAATAGAAGAAGCCTCGATTACATCGTTAATGTATCCAACAGCTTCAGTTGTTCATTCGCACTGGTTTGATAACTTTTGTACGACATTTTCCTTTGCTTTTAGGGCACTTTAAAAACATTTTAATAGCATTTTATTAATCATTTTTGGCGATATTTCAGGTCCTCAAAAGCCGCTTCTTAGCCATTATATACAGACATCATACTTATATTACATACAATC